ACAGTTTAAAAAATAATTCATATTTTCAATCACACTTTTTTGCCACAAACAACATTGTCAACAGTGTTATACAAAAATATTATACAAAAAGATTATTTTTATAAATTTAATGAAGCTCAAACGAGGGCTAAATTTCAAAGAGTTTTTAAAAATCTCGATTGAATACACCCTCCAAAATGTGCAATAAAAGAAGGATTATTCTTAGTATACATCACCAAGTATATAAGAGTGTTCATAAGGGTGCCTATACACCGCAACCGGGGCACTGGGTGTCCGTAATGGACACCTTTATGTACCTCTTATATATACCAAGAATAACACATAAAAGACTATCTTTCAATCCAAAAATCAACTTTTTGTTAATAATTTAACCGATTTAAAAAGAAGAAATGATCTTTAACTTTTAATTACTTTTTAAAAAGGAAAATTTTTACAAGGTTTAAACATTTCAAAAATGTACATCACAGTCTCAAATGTTTTAACACTTGTTTGGTATTGATTAAAATCAAGATTTTATTTTAAATCAAAGTCAACAATTAATTTTAACCGCATATTTGTGGGACCCACAACTTTTCAACCACATATTTCATCAATTTTTTGCAAAATTTACTAGAAATTTGAATTTAATCCCTACCAAACAAGGGTTTAACAAATGTGCATTAGAAAAACTTTTAATGATTTCCATCCAAAAATATGTTAATTAGCTAAAGTTTAAACGTATGATCTTAATCTGACCAATTTTACAGGGACAAAATGGATTGTTGTGTAACATCATCGTGTGTGTACATTAATTTTTTGAATAGTAACATTAACTTTAAATAATAACTTGACTAGTTAGACCTTGAATAATTACAATTTTTCTTGAAAAAGATCTCAAAGAAATATTATGAAAAATATAAAGTTAAAAACAGATGATATATTACAAGGAGAATTCTTATATCTCTGAGATTACACTGTGTCTTTTTTCTCAAAGAGTTTCTCCTTTATATAGAGGTCTTGAATTCTTCACACTTAAAAGGTTCATCCAATTTGATGAATGAATCTTAAAGGGACAATTGTGACCGTGGTTCACCTGCTTTTAAATATACTCTAAAAGGACAATTATGACTGTTATCCACTTGCTTTTGAATAGACTGCTTTAAAAGACAGTTAGCAGTTCTGTCTATTACTTGCTAAATGCTTTTGAAACTTTAAAGGACAATTATTTCTCTTTTATTGACGTTTTGAAGGACCACTTGAATCGTTGCATTTTCTTTCAAAGGATATACGTTATTGGATCAGATTACCGGTCATCCACCAAATCATCTATATGCCATAACAATCATCAGCGTTTTCTTGGACATAGTATTCAGTGTCTAATCCAAATGAACTTGGAGCTTTCGATGTATTTGGAGCTAATTCTGCTAGAGAGGAAACTTGTCGAGTTAATGGTACAAATTCTTCAAGATCTTCGCACTGAGCAATCATTGCCATCAATTTGTTTATTTATTGTTAGGAATTCTAGAAGCTTTATTTGAGTTCTCTGTAACTTGAATTGCGCGACTTTCAATCCAGGATTACTTTTGGACAATTTCCCACCATTTTATCTTGAGTATCCTAATAATATGTTTTGGGGAATATTGTGTTTCACCGTCTGCTTGAATATGGAAGTCCCAACAAAATATCCATGAGACTTTAAAGATTCTTGAAAATTGAAAAATGATCGTTCTCGTTCTTTTAAAATTTGGTTTCTTGTGCTTTGAAATATTGAAATCCCTGAAAAACGAGACCTTGAAATATCTATTTCTCAATTCCAAAATACAAGAATTAGTTTTTAAACCATGTTGGAAAACCTGTTTGGCGTTCAAGATCAAACATAATAAACCAAGAATGAGAAATTGGTCTGCTATAGAAGACATAATACCATACATGTTTATAATCGAAATAATTAAATTGTGAATGAGATATTTTTTCTTGAACATTGAATTTTTTGCATTCCCATGAGTGTCCCCAATCTTTGAAGGAGAGGACAATTAAAATTTTGAATTTTGAAAAATCTATTTTTATAGAGGTTGGCTTATGAGTTATTTCTGCTAAATTGATATACTGAAGAATGAATTCATAATACGTTTTGGTTTTCTTGATATCATCTAGCAGAAACCAAAATCCTTGTGGAAGTATGTTTTGAAGGCATTCTTCTTTTGATGCAAATCGAGTAGTCCACTGTCTTTTAAGATCGACAGCTGGTCGAGTAATCTTTTTGATGTAGTGTTGAAACTTTTTTTTTTCTTTTTTTTCTTTTTTTTTTTTTTAATTACTGCAGCTGATTTATTGCTGGCCATTTTTAAGTTCCAGTTTTCACAGCCTTTTTGAGGTTGGCTGGGCTTGGGGTTTTTAGGAGTTTTTGGAAGACAAATATCAAATGTTTAATTGTCTTGATAGAATTTTGAAATGATTTTTTTTTTCAGTATATTACCTAAAATTTAGAGTTGTCTTTTTGGACGAAACTAAATTTGCGCTTGAGTTCAAACTTTGTAGTGATAATTGGTCTATCTCTTGAAGTATCTCTCTATTTATAGAATTCCAAACCTTACCTTATAAGAATTTCCTTGTAAAAAGATCTAGTAAAAGCATTAGGTTTTCCATCTAAATATTGAATTTCGAAATCAAAGCATGACAAAATAGATTACCACCTCGCAAATATTAGTTTTGAGATAAGATTCTTTATATCTTTTTGTAGTACATCTTTTGAAACTTTACAATCAATTTTGACAATAAAAGTTTTATATATAATATCATCTTGAAACTTGGTAATACATAGTACTATTGATAAAATTTCTTTTTTGATAGTAAAATAATTCTTTTGAGCACCAATCCATATTTCAGAATGGTATCAGACCTATTGTCGTTGATCTTGAAACTTCTGTTTGAGAATGCCTACGTAACTTAATCGACAATGTAAATGACACACCCTAAAAACCTTTGAAGACTTGTTTTATCTAATATTTCGTCTGAAAATCTACTTGAAAAATCTAAACTTCTTTGAATTGGGGTAATGGTTCCTTGAAAAATTTATGCCGTAAAAACTTAATATTTGTTTGACATAAAATTATTTTCTTAGCAGAAACTGCTAGTGTTGACCTCAAAAAGTGCGCCAACAGATGTCGGTCCCACCCGCACTTGCGTGGGCGAATGTCCAACACGCTAAGACACGTGGACGGTCTAAAACGAGCGGTTTAAAGGGGCGTGGGAGTAGCCAAACGACGCGGGACGGTGACGTATAGAATCCGGCGGGTTGTTCGTAATCCGATTGTACAATAATTACCAACTGGTGCTCGTAAATATATATGTAAAAGTGTATAAACTCGATTTGTGTATTGCAACTAAATGAGAGAGAGTTGAGTAAATGTAGTCTTTAGTATTGATTCTTGCATTAACCTTTGACATTACACAATGTGAGTATTTATAGTGATACATATGAAATGGGAGCCCTTGGATGAAGTGGCACGTGGCCTCATCTCCTTAATTCAAACGTCTGTTCTTAGGTATGGGACTTGACTTGCTAGCTTACGGCGCATTTATTGCTTGCGAAGGTCCTTTATACTAGTGATAAGATTTGACCTTTATGCTTGTGACAAACGTTCCATCAGTCATTCGAATAAGATCTCTGAGCAGACGATCTCTTGGGAGAAGTGATAGTGGAGGAAACTCCTTGTGGTTAGGAGGCTCGCGCATCAGTTTCGGGGCTTCGACCATTTGACAAATACCTCCACCTGAGGACCTCAGCTAAATTCAACAGGTTCCATGCTTTGGGTCATGGGGCTCGGCAGTTGGACTTCGGCAGAGTACGTCGGATCGTGGTGCCTCGGTGGATGGACCTCAGCTCGAAGCAGTTCGAATGTAGCCCACCTCGGCAGGACTCCACGTGGATCAGGATGAGTGGGCCATTGGTCCAGGTGGGTACGACAGGTGTGACAACACGCAACAATAGTCCCCCAAGTCCAAGTATAATCATTAATGTAATGCGAGGCCTTTAATGGAGTAGAAGTTGAAAGAATTTTTGAACCCCAAATAATAGTCCCCCAAGTCCAAGTATAGATATTTATATCATGGTTGGGGTTTGAGAAGTGTTGCCGCGGATGAATGATGAAGAAGCCGAGGTGGTTGAATAAACCGAACCTGCGAGGCTTGTGAAGGCTGAAATGTGATGAAGCCGAAGTGGTTGAGAAAATCGAACCTGCGAGGCTTGATTGCTGAATGGCGAGAAGGAAGCCGAGGTGGTTCAGGAAATCGAACCTGCGAGGCTTTGATGCGGAATGGTGAGGAGAGAAGCCGAGGTGGTTCAGGAAATCGAACCTGCGAAGCTTGCCAAGGTCCAATGGTAATGATTGTGCGTTGGTTGCTGTGCCAATGATTTGATGTTTTGTGCTTGTTTTCGAGGAAAGGTGGCTGAACCATTACGACTTCCACGCTGCTGCCGTCGAATTAAAAATGCAATTATGAGGGCAGTTGGCGTTTCTAGAAGCAGACGCGTTGGAGAGGTGCGTGGGAGGCACGCATAAATCTGAGGCATAGGATTTAAAAACTGTTTGAATTCAACGCCTCGGATTGGATCTGAAATAGAGGGCTCGAATTGACTGAGATTTGATCTGACGGCTGGGGTTTGTCTTAGACCTTTATAAAAGGCGAGAAAATCCCAATTTTCAGGATTTTTGAACACTTTTGCACTCTGAAATTCTCTCAAATCTCCAATTTTCCGGCGTCGAGGTTGTCTGTGATATTAAATTCCGACCAGTCTCCATTTGTGTCAAACTCGTTTAGATATTGTTTGCATAAAAAACCCTTGTTACTGTCTTTATACTGACAAAATGGAGTCCACTTCGGGTAGGGAGCTTGTTACAATGGCGTCTTTAGACTATGGGGTAGGTCATGGGGGGATGTCCGAGGTGGATAGGTATGCCATGGCCGAGGAGGCTGTAGATTATACCTAGGAGTGAGGGGCTTTTAGAGTGCCCTCGAATATGACGGGGAAGAGGTTGGGGGAACTTAGGGAGAGGTACAGTGTACCCCATAACATAGAAATGTTAGTGCCCGAGCTGAACGAGCGGGCCTGCTATCCGAGGCCCGGCTGCGTGGCCGTGAGTGAATACCTGTTCAAGGCAGGTATGCGTCTTCCTCTGCACCCTTTCTTTAGGGCGGTGCTTAGGAAATTCATGCTGTCGCCGACCCAGGTTCTGCCGAATGGGTGGAGCCAGCTGGTCGGCTCGTACTTCCTGTGGAAGGAAGTGTCACTTGGGGAGGACATGCCTCTTCATGTGTTCATGACCCTGTTCCAGCCCCGGGTAATTGGGAAGGAGTCAAGGGGGTGGTACTACCTCACGCCTTGGGGGGCTCACGCACCCTTTGTGGTGGGACTTCCTTCCTCTATCAAGGGATGGAAGGAGTCCTGGTTCTGGGTGCGAGGTAAATGGCAGGCAGTGGAGGGCGACAAAGCCCTGTCATGCACAGTGCCGACCCAGTACTACGAAGCTCGTGAGTCTCCCGACCTCTGCTTGTCTTTTGAAGTCAGAATATGAATTCGTCTAACTGTTGGAGGTTCCTTTGCAGACAGTAGTACGAGGTTTGAGCTCAGCAGGGAGGAATTCGAGGTGATAGAGGACATTTACAAGAGGCCTCTGAAGCTTCGGTACTTCGATCACCTGATTGATAGAAGCAGATACTTTTTGGACTTCGAGCTGATGGCATCCAGAGGTATGAGGCCCCAACACTTGATCCTTTGTTTTTATCCTTATTGTTTCTTATGCTGATGCTGATGCTGATCTGACATATTGTGCAGACAAATTCAAAAAGAGGGAGTACCCAGCTCCGGACATGGCCTCTATCTTGAAGGCCACTTCTACTGCGAAGGCGAGGCCCCTGAAGCTTGGGTCCAGTGGGGCAAAGGAAGTCCGAGGCAGGGTTGAGCGCCTGTCCAAGGACTGCACTCCCAGAGCTTCGGAGGAGGCAACTACTCAGAGGCCAAAGAAGCCTAAGGAGCCTCGGGGCAAGGAGAAAGTCTCTGAGGAGACTAAGAAGAGGAAGCTGGTGCACATCTCCAGCTCAGCTGGCAAGTTTGGGACCTCAGTGTCCCATAGGGCCGAACAGACTGGAGAGCTGAAGCTTCTTGCTGCAGCCTCTAAAGCCATCAAAATGGAGATGGTAAGAGAGGTAGAGGCCGAAGAGGCTAGAGTTGAGGCTGCAAGGCGAGCTGCAGAAGCCACTGAAGAGGAGGCAGCAAAGGAGAAGCCGGTTCGGGAGAAGGGGAAGTCTCCAAACTTCCTAGCTGGGAGGGAGGAAGAGCTGGCCCCAGCCTTGATGGAGGCTCTCCCTGAGGAAATCAGAAGTGCCACCGAGAGCTTTTACAAGTTCTGGATAGAGAGGTGGCAGCTACATGCCTCGTCTTGTGATGCCACAGACTTGACAAGGGCACTGGTGAGCCAAAGCGCCCGAAGCTTTGGCCTCGCGCTCGAATGCAGGGAGGCCTTGAGCGAATTCCAGACCAGGACCCACGCCTCGGAGGGGAAGGCTGCCTCCCTTGCAGAGGAGGTTAAAACTGCTAAGGTCGAGGCCGAAGAAGCCAACGCCCAGAGGGTTGAAGAGGCAGCGAAGCTTGAGTTTGCTTTGGCCCAAATTGAGGCCCTAAAGAAGGAAGTATATGAGTCACAGTGCGAGGTGGCCTCCTTGACAAAGAAGGTGGAGGTCTCCAATGAGCACCAAAAGGTGACTGCTGAGGCTCTTGAGAAGGAGAATCTCTCCTTGGCCGGTGCTTGAGATGCCTATCAGTTTCTCGAAGGCCAGGCGAAGTGGTACATGAACGACGCCTCGGTTTCCAGAGAAGAGGCCCGAACTGCAAGGGAAGAGGCGGTGAAGGAATACATCGCCAATTTCCACACTACAGAGGAGTACAAAAGCTTCAGCTCGTACTGGAGGAACTTCGCCTATGCCGAAGTGCTAGAGAGGGCAGAGGAGCTGTATCCCAATTTGGACCTGGCTCAACTTAGGTCCGAATTTGTGGATGAGGTACCTCAGACCCCAGTTGAGGAGGTCCAAGGTGATGAAGAAGTTGATGCCGAAGCCCCAAGTGCCGAGGCAGAGAAAACAACTACTGATGCCCAAGTTGCCGAAGCCCCTATTGCCGAGGCGCCTCCGTCATCTAGCCAGGCATAGACTAGGTTTTATTTTTCAGTAATTTGGATGTAATGGCCAGAGGCCCTCCTTTGTAACCTTTGGAATATCAATATAATGTCTTTCTTCTTTCATTGTTGCTTTTTGTCTATGTTTTTATACCTCGTTAAACAAATGAACTGGAACTTGATGTAAGCATGAACTAAATAACTTTGTGAGCCTCGGACTGAAATAAATGAGCATAACTTGAGGAGATGAGTTGTGCGAACCTCGGACTTAAGCAAATTAACAAAACTTAAGGAGATGAACTCTGCGAACCTCGGACTTAAGCACATTTACATAACTTAAGGAGATGAACTGTACGAACCTCGGACTTAAGCAAATTGACATGACTTAAGGAGATGAACAGCGTGAACCTCGGACTTAAGCACATTGACATGACTTAAGGAGATCGGACTTAAGCCAACAGTATGAGCCTCGGACTGTAGGGTTGTGGCTTCTCCCTTTGGCGTTCAGCAAGGCCAAAGGGAAGCATGTGCTAGCGCCTCGGAGTTCAAGCGAGGTGGCCCAGAGGTGGGTCCCGAGCCTCTCCTCCGAGGTGACGACGCATCCCAGACATGGTGGATGGTGTAGCCATGTTGATGCTTCTCCCCTTGGCGTTCAGCAAGGCCAAAGGGAGGCATGTGCTAGCGCCTCGGAGTTCAAGCGAGGTGGCCCAGAGGTGGGTCCCGAGCCTCTCCTCCGAGGTGACGACACATCCCAGACATGGTGGATGGTGCAGCCATGTTGAGGCTTCTCTCCTTGGCGTTCAGCAAGGCCAAAGGGAGGCATGTGCTAGAGTCTCGGAGTTCAAGCGAGGTGGCCCGCATGTGTGTCCCGAGCCTCTCCTCCGAGGCGACGACGCAGTATGACACGATTTAATCAATGCATTTTATTGAGCCATAGAAATATTACAAAGGCTGGGAAAGTCATCCAGCATGATACAATTCATTGATAGAAGATTCTGAGGTGTTCAATGTTCCATGGACGGGGTTGTGCCTTGCCGTTCATGTCTTCAATCCAGTAGGTTCCCGGTCGGATTTCTTCTCTGATCTTGTATAGACCTTCCCAGTTCGGCCCCAGGGAGCCGGAACCAAGTTCTTTTGAAGATGGGAAGACCCTCCTGAGCACAAGATCGTTGATTCGGAATGACTTCTTTTTGACTTTGGAGTTGAAGTACCTTGTCATCTTTCTTTGATAGGTGCCTAGCCTTAGCTGGGAGTCATCCCTTCTCTCCTCAATGAAATCGAGGTCGAGCCTCCGGAGCTCGTCGTTGGTCACTTCGCTGAAGTGCATACGCCGTGGAGATGGGAGTCCGACCTCCACGGGGCTCATCGCCTCAATCCCAAAAAAGCCATGAGGAAAGGGGTCTCCCCAGTTGGGGTCCTGATGGTGGTTCGGATTGCCCAAAGTACTTGGGGCAGCTCATCAACCCAAGCTCCCTTGGATACATCAAGCTTCCTTTTTAGGACGTGCTTGATTGTCTTGTTTACGGCTTCAACTTGGCCATTAGCTCGTGGGTGGTGAGGTGTAGAGAAGTGCTTCTTTATGTCAAGATCTTTACACAGTTCTCTAACCCTCTTGTTATCGAATTGCCTGCCATTGTCTGGGACGATTGAGTAGGGAATTCCGAACCGGCAAATAATATTCTTCCATAAGAACTTGGAGGTGTTTGCTTCCATGATTTTTGCCAGTGGTTCAGCTTCGACCCACTTTGTGAAGTAATCAATGGCCACTATTGCAAAACTTGCACCTCCTCTACCCTTAGGTAGGGGGCCTATGAGGTCCACCCCCCATTTCGAGAAGGGCCAGGGCTGGAGATTGCAGTCAAGTCCTGTGATGGTCGTCTTTGTACGGGAGAGAATCGTTGGCACTTATCACATTTTCGCACGAATTCGAGGGCATCCCGTTTCAAAGTAGGCCAGTAGTACCCTTGCCTCAGTATTTTTTGTGCCAGATATAGGCCTCCAGAGTGGTTGCCACACATTCCCTCGTGGACTTCTCTTAGTATGTAGGTAGCCTCTTCTCCCCCGACGCATCGTAAGAGTGGAGAGGAGAAGCTTCTCTTGTAGAGAATATCATCAATGAAAAGGAAGTGGGCTGACCTCCTTCTCAGCTTATAAGCGTCATTCTTGTTGGTGGGCAGCGCCTGGTCTTTTAGATATGCTATGATTGGTTGCATCCAGGTGGGAGTTCCAGCGACCAACATGACATTAGGGGCCTCGGTAGAAGGTAGGAGGAGGTGCTCGATAGGTACTACAGTGAGTAGCTCCAAGTCTTTACTACTAGCTAGCTTCGAGAGTGCATCCGCATGAGCGTTTTTGATGCGGGGAATCTGGGTTAACTCGAACTTCTCAAAGGATGGGATGAGGTTCATCACCATTTTCAGATAAGAGGCCGTCGTTTTGTCTTTGGCTGAGAAGTTACTATTGACTTGGCTAACAACCAACTGGGAGTCACTACTGATGAGTAGCTTCTTTACTTGCATTTCCTTGGCCAGTCTGAGGCCTGCAAGGAGTGCTTTATACTCTGCAACATTGTTGGTGGCTTTGAATCCGAACCTCACGGTCGAGGTGAGTTTGTGACCCTCGGGGCTGATGAAGACAACCCCAGCACCTGAGCCGACCTCCCCAGTTGAGCCATCGACGAAGAGGCTCCACGTGGGGGGTTCGACGGATTCCATGATTTCATCCACCTCGGGCAGGTTGGCAAACTCAACAACAAAGTCAGCCAATGCTTGCCCTTTGATGGCTGCCCTAGCTTTGAACATAAGGTCAAATTCACTTAGTTCCACTGTCCATTTCAACAATCTTCCTGAGGCATTGGGCTTTTGGAGTACTTGCCTCAGGGAAAAATTTGTAAGTACATGGATGGTATGAGCTTGGAAGTAAGGTCTCAATTTCCTAGAGGCCGTGATTAAGGCCAAAGCAAGCTTCTCCATATCGGGGTATCGGGTCTCCGGCGAGAGGAGCGCTTTACTCGTATATAGACGGGAAGTTGGGTGGACCCTTCTTCTCGAATCAGAACCGAACTGATGGCGTCATTGGAGACGGCAAGATATAATTGCAAGATGTCGTCGGGCTTCGGCTTGGAGAGGAGGAAGGCCTGCCCCAAATGCCTTTTCAATACTTAGAAGGCCTCTTCACATTCCTCAGTCCATTGGAATTTCTTCCTAGCCTTGAGCACTTTGAAAAATGGGAGGCACTTGTCAATTGCTTTGGAGACGAAGCGACTAAGTGCTGCCACTCGTCCAGTTAAGCTTTGCACCTCCTTTGACTTTTGAGGGGGCCTCATCTGGCACAGAGCCTCAATCTTCTCGGGATTTGCTTTAATTTCTCGCTATTTGACCATGTACCCCAAGAACTTGCCGGAAGCCACCCCAAAGGCAGATTTCAAGGGGTTGAGCCTCATCCTGTACCTTCTCAGGATTTGGAAGGTGTTGTTGAGGTACGCTACGTGGTTTTCTGCCTCTAAACTCTTCACCAGCATGTCATCCACGTAGACCTCCATTGTCTTGCCAATGAGGTCGGTAAATATTTTGTTCACGAGTCTTTGGTAGGTTGCTCTGGCGTTTTTCAACCCGAAAGGCATCATTCTATAGCAATAGAGGCCTCGTGCCGTGATGAAAGAGGTGTGCTCTTCATCGGTCGGGTGCATGGGGATTTGGTTGTAGCCGGAGTATGCATCCATGAAGCTCAACAACTCGTGCCCAGCCGTGGAGTCCACCAATTGGTCAATCCTTGGAAGCGGAAAGCTGTCTTTTGGGCAAGCTCTATTAAGGTTGGTAAAGTCGATGCATACCCTCCATTTGCCATTGTATTTCTTAACTAAGACCGGGTTGGAGACCCACCTCGAATAGGTGGCCTCCCTGATGAAGTCATTGTGGATGAGCTTCTGAACCTCTTCCTTTAGGGCCTCATACCTCTCAGGGTTGAGGGCTCTCCTTTTTTGTCTATGCGGGGCAACATTAGGATCAATTTTCAAGTGGTGGCAGTTGATCTTGGGGTCTATGCCCACCATGTCCTCATGCCTCCAAGCGAAGACGTCAAGGTTCTTGCCTAGAAAGTCCTTAATCTTTTCTCTCAAAATGCTAGATAGGCCTCTGCCTACTTTCAACACCTTGGACGGATCTCAGGGGTCGGTTAAGAAGCTCTCAAGTTCCTCTACAGGGGATGCTTGAGGCTCATGTTCCATTATGCGGGGATCGATCTCGTCAACGATCAGCACCTCCTGAATAAGCGGTGCGTCAATCATATCAACATCTTCCTGGTCAATGGGAGCGTCACCTGAGACATCCGCCATGATCACATCAGCCATGATCACGTGGACGTCCGGGGGCTCTACCTTCTTAATGGAGCTCAGATAGTACTCTCTCGAACCTCTCTGGTCGCCTCTCACCGTTGCCACCCCATTTTCTGTTGGGAATTTCATGCATAGGTGGTGGATGGAGGTGACTACTCCCAATTCCTTTAGGGCCGGTCTGCCCAAGACTCCTTGGTAAGCCGACCGACTTTCAACTACGAGGAATTCCATGAAGTTCATCGTGGTTTGGGGAGATTCTCCCATCTCCACCCCCAGTGTTATCTTTCCTCTCGGAGTGATGCTATCTCCGGTAAATCCGTACAATGGAGTGGTGGTGGGCGTCAACTGATGGTCCAATATCATCTTGTCAAAGGCGGACCCGAATAGGATGTTGACGGAGCTGTCGTTGTCGACTAGCATTCGTTTGAGCCCATTTCGGGCTATGACAGCCCTCACCACCAGCGCATTCCAGTGGGGGTAATGAACTCTTTCGGCGTCTTCCTAAGTGAAGACAATTGGTGGTACTTGGTTTCTTCGAGAGCTACTGTCCACAATGTAGCTCGTCAGAGGGGGGTGCTTAGCCTCCCTAGCATAATTTCTTTTGGCGTTCCGCATTTCACCGCCAACATAAGGGCCTCCAAATATGGTATCTATCTCGCGGATAGGGGCCTCATCTTGAGCTTGCCTATTTCTTCGGTGTC